ATTCCCCCGGAAGAGCTGGCCCAAGTGGCTGGGGAGAGGGAAGTCTGCGCCTCCCTACTTAGGCTGCTACCCCCGTGACCCGACCCCGGATAAGCGTAAGAAAATGGATGGATGGATGGATGGATGTTTACAGATACAAACCAAAAAACTACGTGTTAAACTGTCTGCGAGTTTCAATATGCAAGTACAAATTATGACTGGATTTTTTTTCCTCACAGCTGATTGGTCAAAGTCATGCAATCACAAATTTTACAATCCAATCAAAGAACAGATGGGTTGGGCTGTCAGTGGGCTGGGGCAATGCTTTACTGAGCTGTGAGCCCTGGGTTACCATCACTTTATGGTTTAATGGAACAACAACAACATCAACTCATTTTCTGTCTGATTGGTGCTGGTAGCTGTGCTCCATCCATCCATCCATCCATCCATACATCCATACATCCATCCATACATCCATACATCCATACATCCATCCATACATCCATACATCCATACATCCATACATCCATACATCCATACATACATACATACATACATACTTACTTACTTACTTACTTACTTACTTACTTACTTACTTACTTACTTACTTACTTACTTACTTACTTACTTACTTTCTTTCTTTCTTTCTTTCTTTCTTTCTTTCTTTCTTTCTTTCTTTCTTTCTTTCTTTCTTTCTTTCTTTCTTTCTTTCTTTCTTTCTTTCTTTCTTTCTTTCCTTCCTTCCTTCCTTCCTTCCTTCCTTCCTTCTTTCCTTCCTTCCTTCCTTCCTTCCTTCCTTCCTTCCTTCCTTCCTTCCTTCTTTCCTTCATTCTTTCCTTCATTCTTTCCTTCCTTCTTTCTTTCCTTCCTTCCTTCCTTCCTTCCTTCCTTCCTTCTTTCCTTCCTTCTTTCCTTCCTTCTTTCCTTCATTCTTTCCTTCCTTCTTTCCTTCCTTCTTTCCTTCTTTCCTTCCGAGTCGTGGGGGTCGACTGCCCATATCCAGCAGTCACTGTGCGAGGGGCGGGGTACACCCTGGACAGGTCTCCAGTCCATCACAGAGACACATCAAGACAAACAACCATTCACGCTCACACCTAGGGACAATTTACAGTTACCAATCAGCCTAACATGCATGTTTTTGGTCTGTGGGAGGAAACTGGAGTACCTGGAGAAAACCCACACATGCACAGAGAGAACATGCAAACCACAAAGAAAGGTCTCCAGCTGGGATTTGATCCGACCACCTTCTTGCTGAGAGACAGCAGCTCTACCAACTGCACCATCGTGCCGCTCTAGCTCTGTGTACATGAATCATTAAAAGTTTTACATAACTGTTTTATGTACACGGAGACATGACTTGGTGTAAAACCACAGTGAGCTTCAGTTAAGAAGCTTCCTGAGTTCATGTTGACAGCATTTAGCTTGTCCTAGCATTAGCATGTTGTCAACATTATCTCATGTTATCAGAACTCCTCCACTAATCTTTATTACATAAAACCATCTTCTTCTTTCATCTTTTCCCTCTTCAGGGTCTCCACAGCGAGTCATCCTCCTCCTTCTCTGTCCTCTGCATCCTCTGTCCTCACTCCAACTACCTCCATGTCCTCTCTAACTGCATCCATATGTCTCCTCTTTGTCTTTTTCCTGGCAGCTGCATTTCTAACATTCTTCTACCAATATACTCACTGTCCCTCCTCTGGACATGTCCAAACCACTGTCCCTTCTCTGGACATGTCCAAACCACTGTCCCTCCTCTGGACATGTCCAAACCACTGTCCCTCCTCTGGCCATGTCCAACCGCTGTCCCTCCTCTGGACATGTCCAACCGCTGTCCC